CACGCCTTCGAGAACATCAGCTGATAACTAATGAGCTACCGATAACATCCGGTAACACTCTGAGGAAGACGACAGCGAACGTCGAAACATGTCAGGTGAATAAAACCTAAAATTAGATGTCTGATAGAAAATAAAAAATAGCATTGTCATAATTACTTTAAAGACATAATGAATATAATTGAAAGAAATAGTGCGTATCGCTGATAATATCGAACATATCAAATGTACCTCTATCATAGTAGCTTCCTCCAAAGGAGAGAGAAAGTGACACGGCGATAGATGGAGTCCAGGCCATTTGGCGTAAGAAGTAAGACTGCTTAAGACAGACCTTGAGTGTGAAAGTAGGGACTTACAGCAAGCTAAACAAAAATATGAATGAAGTCAAGCAAAAACCCTCTACACTTCCACTAAGGACACTGTTCTGGGCACCTCATGGTCTTAATGGAAAATTGGTCTTTATGGTACACCAACTGGCAGATTTAGGTATGGGCGGCATGGGCGGCCGTCCAAGGTGGCATCTTGCCGGGGGTCTTTGTGGGTCACTTAATCTTTTCGGAGGTGGTGGTGGTGGGGGGGGGGGCGCCGTGATTATAATTTGTGAGCCAGGCAGGCTGCCAGTCAGAGGTATGAGATGGGGACAGGGGTGGGGCTGGGCTGGCCTCCAGTGGCCCCAGTGGAAGCTCGAGGAGGGGGGAGCGGAGGAATCTATCAAATAGTGCACCTCTAAATTTGTATAGAACCAATGGAACTAGTAAAATCAGTCACACTACGAAATGCTACTAAATAAATCACAATTCATTTATAATCCTGTAAATATATACTTTCACAGACACATTGTTGCATTTTTTCCTGATATAAAGTCAGTTTGGACACCACTAAGGAGAGATTGGTTAGTTGTGACTCTTGGTTGGCAGCGTTGGGAGATGTTGTGTGATGTTGTGTGATGTGATGTATTGATGCTCAGGTGCCAAAGTAACACAAATGCAAGAAAAGGTGTAAGACATCAGGTGCCGGTTTCAAAAAAGAGGAAATAAGAGGAGAAAAGTGCAAAAGGTGGGCAGTTATTTCCTCTCTTTATGAGAATAATATTATGCATGTAATGAAATACTCCAGTATATCACTAGTCTCAGGCAACAGTGCTAACCACTGCACCACCATACCACCCCTCGTCACGCGTCTGACCCCCCTGAGAAAATGGGAAGTGTGGTCTTTCCATATCCATGTCACGGAACACGCTTTCTAATATAAAGAACAACGACATAGTTTCCCAAAATAATTTCCAAAGTGAAGAATTTCATCTAACAAGAGTTGGTCAATGACAAACTACTTATTTGGACTTATTGACTGAGGCGACAATTGGCCATTTTTGCTGAATTGATGCCTTTAAATAGATTCTTGGCAAACAGTCACGTCAGAATCAACAGTGAGAAGATAAGACTTTAAATTTTGGGGGAGGAGGGGACACAGATATTCAATCCCAGAAGCTTCACGATGCAGTGAAAATTGGTGACGGAAAACCAGAATCGTGTAGCTCTGAATGAGAAGGGCATTCCCAGTCTTTGACTCCCCAAAGCTACTGTAGATCTCCCAGTGACATACAAATGCGCACACACGGTAACTATAAGACTTGCTGACATTTGTTTTATAAAAGTCACAGTGCACATCGCGGAGCTTCCTAGGAGTGACATACACAGTACTCCTTACAATACGCTGCCTCTAGGGTTAACTTCCAATTTGGCAGTTTGCCATGCGGCCAGAAGGGGGCACCAGTAAGGTTTTACAGATTTGTAGAAAAGCTCTTGGCAGAATGTTTCGGCAGCCTCAGATTCCGCACGCTCGTGTCTAAGGAATTGCGCGTGCAAAATCAAAAATATACAATGCAAATATAATAAAATCGGAGTGCGTATCAAGCATATTCATAAGAGTTGACGTTCATCGAGGAGACAGAAGGGCTAATTGTCTTTATCGATGGGAAATTTCAGTCCAGGGATATCTGTTTGACTCTACATCGCTACTGAGTACACAGACGGGAATATATATTTAAGCAATATAGGATATATATAACCAAGCCAAGTACATAATGCCTGTGGTCGATTAAAGGGCTTTAAAAGGCACAGTTGCTATTATGGAGGTGCTCTCTAAAGAATGCTTTGTCTCAAGTGCTTTCTATTCTGGCAATGTCATCCAGTTACAAAGCATCCCATTTGTTAGCAGTCAGCTAGTTAGTGTGGTAGGAAATTATAAATCAACCTCTCTGATAACTCCAGTTGAGCCACTTAGAATAAAACTCTGGATCTCTCAGTTGGTGAGCAAAGTAATCTCTTTTATTCAAGCAATCCACCAAAGGGCTCCCGTCACACCAGGTACCAAGTACCCCGAGCACACAGAGAAACCAGCTAATAAACCATAACTCTGAATTCCATATAAGGACTTCTAAGCCCCGATTGGCCACAAAACGCCAACAAACTGAGCTCAAACGTATAACAAACACAATTCCAATGCTCTATTGGTTCACCTTCGTAGCAAGGTAAAATCCACCCATTTCGCTTAATTTACCTCGACTGCTAGGCTCCTACTTGAGATATGGATATAGATATTGATTATATAGACATTGAATCACTGTAAATATTTGGTTGACCTTTGATTAATGATTGACATATTGATGTATTGTCATTGAATCACTGTAAATACATGGTTAACATTTGATTAATGTGATTAACGTGACAATTACTTATACATTTGCACTACCGTATAACATATTGTGTATGGCCTACTGCAACTACTTTATAACTACAACTCTTTGTGCACCAGTTGGGGCAGCTTCGAATCCCTTCCTGCAGACAGTCTCCCCCCCCCCTTCGCTGTCCATCTCTCCAAGGTCCGATCTCTCTTCAGGTTCTGCAGAACTAACTGCAGGCAGCTATCATGAAGTGAGGTCACACAGTATTAAAAACAGTCTCCTCTTGCCTAAGGCCTAAGACATACCAGACCCACTACGCCTCCCCTACCAATGTCCAATTTTCTTTCAACAACTGCTCCTCTCTGGCTCCTGCCTCCGGTTCCCCATTAAGGGTCAGTCAGTGTTCACAGCCAAACAGTTTTCATGAACCATTCCAGTGATTTTTCCAGAGATATATTCCAGAAATAAACACAAACTCTGGTTTGTCAAAAAGGAAAAAGAAAAGCAGATTCATTTTGGTCAAATACCTTTTACATAATTCTTATTTAATTCAGGGTTGTGGTACATTTAACCAGCATAAATTGCAACAGATACAACTTGCAACATTGGTCTTGCTGCATTTCACTCTCTTTCACTCTCTAGGGGCATCTTGCACTTTCCTCCACTATTCGTTTTCTGGAAATTCAAAATTGCTGTTCAGTGGAGATGATGACCTCCTTTCCACTTTCCAACCCCGTTATTTTTATTATTATAATTATTATGCTTGAGATTCCAACAGCCCCCAGATGTACTAGCCAGCAAACAATTGTACCAAATGCTGTAAAACCGAATTTGATTTCTTTGCAGATGTAAGTCACATTTTACAGTTGTACAATGACCAGACTTACTCCTTTGATTCCTCTGTAAGACTCCTCTCTCTCTGTGGTGTCTCCTTCTTCTGCCAATTTGTCACTGTTTGTACTACTTTCTTCCCGCCAGAAATCTGCCAGAGAACCGCACGTGACTGAACTTTAAATAGGTCGGGCCGCTAAATAGGCCTATTCAGCCGCGGCCGTGAAGGATCACTGCAGTGAGAACATAATGTAATCTGCATTCACTCCTTAAATTTACTGTGGTTTTTTTGTCGTATTTCTATTGGCTTGCCTGTGAGTGGGGAATCGTTACACTTCTGTCAAGCTACAGTAAATTGCGTGTTTATTATAAAGATACTAATGTTTACATTCCTTGGAGACACAAGAGCAGAGGTAGAAAGTTCAGGTGCATAAAGTACAAATACAAACCAAGGTTTTGTTTCAATCAACTGCAGGTGTTTACTCTGAGGCTGTGACTCTTTAAACTCAACTGGTAGGTTGAAACAAAACCTTGGTCTGGGTGGTGGGCAGTAAAAAAAAAAAAAAAAAACCTTGGTCTGGATTTGTGCTCTGGTTCTGAAATTTCCACCCCTGCACAAGAATCTTACAGCATCAGGACACATGCAGTTGTGTCAGCTCTCTCTCTCTCTCTCTCTTTTAAACGATTTAAATAATTCATTAGCTTTAAAAAATGTATGTGCTGTTTTTTTTCATGTGCATATATTGCATTATAATCAGGTAACACGTTTACCTAAGAAATTACACCAAGCTTGAAGTGGACCCTTTTAATGTTATAACTTAACGTTTTAATACAATTCTGTTAGCTGTGTATTAATGGAAAAACTGCTGATGGAAAGAAATATGCTTAATCAAGTGTATAATTTATTACTATTATTACTTTAGTTAATAATTACCAAAATGCGGTTTTAAATCGGTTTATGACCTTAACAGGGAAGTAATGTCTGAGGTCAAAGGTGAGCACGACATATTTCCTTTGGCAGACTTTAGAAATTGCCGCGCAGGGGTCGCGTTCTCTTTGTGGGTCTGGGGGCTCTGGCTTTCCGCGCTCGCAGGTCGGACAACGCTCCGATCCAATTACCACATCTGTGAATTCGCCCTGATTCCTGACAGCTGTCGGTGGGACCCCCAGAGTGGGATAAAAAGGGACCCGCTTGTACTTTGACCGCTTTCTGGGGGTAGGTTGCTTAGCACTATAGGTTCACGCGGCACAAGGTGCACTATAAAAGCCAGGGACGCTCCGTTCACTTTACACAAATGACACGTTTTTGTTTACGATGCACGACGGAAACTATGAGGACGTCACCTTATTTCTTGGGCAATGGGGACCGTTTCAGCGAGCCATATTCTTCCTGTTAAGCCTGAGCATTGTCCCGAATGGCTTCACCGGCATGTCCATCGTATTCCTCGGGGACACCCCGGCTCACCGCTGCCGGATCCCCGAAGATGCGAACCTCAGCGCGGCGTGGCGAAACAGCGCGCTGCCTTTGGTGGAGGAAAGCGGCTCGCTGCGGCAGAGCCCATGCAGCAGATACAAGCTGGATGTGATAAGAGACTTCTCGGATAAAGGTTACTTACCGGGGATCGATGTGAACCTTACCGGAATACAACAGGAAGGCTGTAGAGACGGGTGGGTGTACGATCGCGGCACCTACATTTCTACCATCGTGACCGAGGTAAGACGAGTCACACAGATTTCATTAAGTTGCTTCCGTTACTAATGAAAAACATTTATTAAAATTACAGTTTTTCTCTTTATCCATTATAACGGGGAAGTAATTTTCATCGTTCCCGCATCAGTAATAGCTAGGCTGCAGTCATGATCGCGAATTCAAGAAACTTCGTATTGCTGTAGGCTATATTTGCTATTCCACGTATTACAGTATTTACAGTAATCGTGTGTGTGTTTCCTTGAAAATGCACATGAAAGGGAATTTAATTTCCTGTGTTGTCGGTGACTGAGATGACAGGCATCAGTCCGAAGTGGGGGGCCCCCTGTCCGGTTCGGGCCACTTTGTCACGGAGGGGAGTTTATAAGTGTCTGCACTGCTGGGGCAGCAGAAGACGGCGAGATCGGCAAAGTCACGGGGCCACCGGTCATAAAATACTCGCAAATAACAGTTCACCTAGTGACTGTCCGCCAGGCAGTTTGTATTATTAGAACGTTATGAGATCATTATGTTGCTAAAGATCAAGCTTCCTCATTGAAACGTAAAGTTTTACAGAGCGGTAGTTATACTCTGGTTATAGAGATTTAATGACAAGGTTTAAAACAGTGAATATACTTAACGACCATCCTGGGCTATTGCGTCCCTTGCTCCTGTAGCTTCTGGGATAGACTGCGGATCCCTACGATAGTGGGTATAGAAGATGGATGGATGTCCAACTATCCACTCATTTTTCATAAAGATATGTCGACTACATCGTTGTGATGAGCCTAGAGTTCAGGATGAGAGGGTTGGGGAACATTCTAGATAAGATGCCAGTCTCTCAGAGCACAGTCACACACTGTGGACTATTTAGAGACAGTTCATCTAAACTGCATGTTCTTGGAATGTTTTTGGAATATTTGCAGGAAGCCTGCACAGCACAGATGTCCATTAGCTACACAACGTCCAAAAGTACATGGGTGTACTGGGGTGATTTTAGCAGAGGTTTTGAAACGGCTAAGATGACACACTTCGACAGGCATACAATCATAGTTTTACCTCAACATGAAGATCATTTAAGCATCATTTTCTTTGACTGTTTATGACGTTTGCACAGTTACTGTATTTTGTGCGTGGGTTTGTTTGTGCCGTAATGAACGCATGTATAAAACGTCATTGTGTCCTTGTTCAACGGCCCTGTGTGCCTTTTATTCAAATAAAGTTTTTTGAATTTGAATTTGAAAATCCATTTGTACTGCCGTGCACCCACGTTGTCCCTGTCTCACTGCAGTGGGACCTTGTTTGCGATGACAAATGGAAGGTCCCTCTCACGACTTCTCTGTTCTTCTGTGGCGTCCTAATTGGCTCCTTTGCCTCCGGACAGCTGTCCGACAGGTGAGGAGATCAGGAACATCTCCGACAGCACTTGTGTTTTGCTGTTGCGTTAGGGTTCATAAAAATGGGATTCAAAATTCTATTGTGAAAGGTAAATTTGATTAAAATCGCCGTAACTATTTGACCATTAGGATCTCTGTTGTTTTCTGGCACTTAATGAGTTTGTAAGGTAATAATTACAATTAAACTAATGCTTTGTTTTGTGTTTGTCAGGTTTGGGAGGAAACTGGTGCTGTTTGCAACAATGGGAGTTCAGACCTTGTTTACGTTATTCCAGGTCTTTTCCACATCCTGGGTCATGTTCTGCGCGCTCTTCTTTATAGTCGGAATGGGCCAGATTTCCAACTACGTCGCAGCATTTGTTTTAGGTACGTATGTCTGTGAAGTCATTTAATTCTGCATTTAAACAGCACGTAATGTATGTAAAATTGTCTCCCTTTTATTGTGCCTGAAGGAACCGAAATTTTAAGCCAGTCGGTTCGGATAATCTACTCTACCATGGGAGTATGTATCTTCTTTGCCATCGGCTACATGGTTCTTCCGCTGGTTGCCTTCTTCATAAGAGACTGGAGAACGCTGCTGCTGGTCCTGACTCTCCCCGGCTTCCTCTACATCCCCCTCTGGTGGTAGGTGTGTGATATGACACCTCATTGTGTTTTCTATCCATAGATAATTCGTCTTATCGGCAGGGAAAGTCTGGATGATTCCTAGGGCCTCTGAAAATCTGGGACACAATTGGGGTACAATATGATATGCTTTCATGGGGCCCAATCATGAGTATCATCAGTCTGCTTTTTAGAAGCTTCTAGAACGTTCTGCCAATTCTCCCTTTATTTCAGATACGTCAGATTTATTTTTTTATGCTTTGATGTTGACCAATCTGGCAACCCAGGCCAGATCATCCCTTACTCCTAGTTCATTATGGCGCAGGCTCATTCCGGAATCTCCCCGATGGCTGCTGTCCCAGGGCAGAGTGGAGGAAGCTGAAGCTGTACTGAGAGACGCGGCCAGGAAGAACGGAGTCACAGCCCCGGAGACCATTTTCCAATCTGTCCAGGTGCATTGTTTCCCCTCGTTTCTCGTCATTAAATCCACCGGCAGCACTCATGATGGAACGTCCCTGAACTATTGAAACGGTTTCTATAAAATTAAAAACAACGCATGACGTAACATTAATTGCTATACCCCTGCAGGGGAATTTCCTTGAAAATCCTAAGAATAAGAATTTTTGTTTCCAAAGATCCAGGATGTGATGGTTTCAACGTAGTAGCATGTTAAAGGCATGAATCAACGTCCCAGGGAATTATTCTTAATAATGTCTGAATATACAACTGAGGTATGGGCTCCGAGGTATTAGATGAGGTTATTTGACTTGAGTTTTTTCCATATTCAAGATTCAAGATTCAAATGCTTTATTGTCATCGTGTAACACAACAAAATTACTTTTATGACAACCCCAAGGTGCATTAATAAATACTAAATAAAGCTAAAAATAATAATTAAAAAAATCATGCAAATATACCAAAGTACTTGTAAAGATGCCATATACAATGTAAAACCTTCAAATAGATTATTTCTAACCAGAACCAAATAACTAGAATTAACCAGAATTATTTATTGCACTAGTGTACAGCAACATAAATGATTCCCATATTACCATTAACAAACAGTAAAGAGTGTATTGCACATCCAACATAATTTATTGTAATTTATGCATGTTGCTCTCTTTAGATTGTGAAAAGCTTCTTAATAACAGAATTACAGAATGTGTGAATTAGTGCCAAATTATTAGTCATTTGCGCTGTACACTTTAGCATGTCCAATACTATAATGCATTTGTAGTTTTTGGCTCTTATAGGAAGCAGATTAACATCATAAATTCATTATAAAAACGTTATAAAAGTCTAATATTATTGGAATATATAGGGATATATAGGAATATTAGGAATTTCCAGAGGTCCATGGAGTCTTTTTTTAATAAAGCAGGGCCTTCAATGCCCAGTATTTCATAAGAGAAACTAAGAAATTTGTCTGCTATCCATGGAAACACACAGGTCAGTTCAGATTCTGACAAAATGAAGCAGAAGTGTTAACTCACATTATACTTTTGAGGACAAATAATCAAATGATCAAGTTGGCGCCACACTTAAATCTGAAAAATAACATGACTTTTTGTAAGACTTCGGACATGGAAAAATACTTTGCCTCTCAATTTTCAAGCACTGAAGACAAATGGGTAACTTAAAGCATATTGACATACAGAGTTGGGTAATTCAGGTCCAGAGAGTGAAAGACCAGACTGGGATTTTGTTTCAACCAACCAGTTGAGTACTCTGTGACTGTGACTGTTTATGCCCAACTGAATGGTTGAAACAAAATCCCGGTCTGGACTTTTACTCTCTGGACCTGAATTACCCAAATTTGACATGTACAGTACCTAGTTTTCAGAAGGTTTCTTTAACCAACACACAAACAGAAATTTACTTGTGAACAGTGTCATCGTGGTTTTATATTTTGTCCCGTCTGTCTCATCCATTGTCTTCTCTGGGGTCTCCGAGTTCTCTGCAGATGTCTGGTTGTTGACATTCTCTCTACTGGTTTTTTCCGAAAGCCGGCCCACTCCATTGTCCTTTAAACAAACACGGTTGTTGTCACACGTGTGCCGCAGGCTGACTCCAAGCCCGTGAACTCCCGCTCCCACAACATCTGCGATCTCGTGCGCACCGGCAACATTCGCTGCATCTCTATCATGTTGGGCCTGGTCTGGTGAGTATCGCCGTCTTGACACCTTGCGGGCCGGGCGCCATCCCGCCGTTGCTTACGTGCTATTTACGTGAAAAGCTTTTATCTCCTTGTCCGTAGGGTCATCCTCTCCATCGGATACTTTGCTTTGTCGCTGAACACTTCCAACTTGGCCGGGAGCGCCTACCTCAACTGCTTCATCTCGGCAGCCATCGAAGTCCCGGCCTACACCTCCGCTTGGCTGCTCTTCCGCTACGTGCCGCGGCGCCTTTGTCTCCTCTCCACACTCTTGCTGGGCGGGGTCGTGCTGCTCTTCATTCAGTTCGTACCCGAAGGTCAGGGCCGCGTCGGGAGAGAGGCGCAGATGAGCGGATCATTCTCCACGCACTTGTGAAACGGACTCTGAGTGAGCCGCGATGGAGAGCGCTGTGTGAACAAATACTCCAGCTGTATGCTAAACTAAAGATTTTGGGGCCCCATTAAAGTGTATCATATGGGGCCCCCAACCCAGAACAATCCAATTAAGTTGCATATTGTTAGGGTCCCTCTCATTCACTCGGGGCCTTTAGGGGGCCGCTGTCTGCATGTACCGTGTATGGCAGGGGGTGTTACTAAAGATTTTGGGCCCCATGAAAGCATATCATATTGGGCCCCCCACTCCAGACTAATCCAATTATTTCCCAACTTTTTTAGGGCCCCTAACGCCACAGGGGCCCTTGGAATCGTGCTAACCTCCACCCTCTTACGGCGCCCCCTGGTGTCAGGGCATGTATAATGCCATCATGCCATTTTTAAAAGCAAAAACATCTGCCTTAAAAAAAAACTTAAAAGAAAGATACTGTTATCTTGTTCAGTTGCCAAACCTCTCCTCAGGGCCAACACAGCCATTACATGTATTTATTAATCTTCATTACTATCTCAATTAATTAACTTGATTAAATAACACAATGAGGTATTGATTACCCAAACAAAATGTGCTAGAGATCGAGTAAAAAAAAATCACAGGTGAATGGGATTGCTGCTACAGTTACTGGAGGGGCAGTACTGTACTGTATCCATGCATACATACAGTATTTACTGTGCATTCCATATACAATATAATGTAGAGCAGTGTTTCCCAACCCGGTCCTCAGGAACCCCCAGCCAGTCCATGTCTTTGCTCTCTCCCAGCTCCCAGTAAGGAGCAAAAATGTGGACTGTCTGGCAGGGAGGGAGCAAAAATATGGACTGGCTGGCAGGGAGGGAGCAAAAACGTGGACTGGCTGGCAGGGAGGGAGCAAAATTATGGACTGTCTGTGGGTTCCTGAGGACCGGGTTGGTAAATGCTGGCATAGAGGGTGTTTTATCCAAACAGCCTCTTGAGGACAAAGCCTTCTCTGTTTCCTGGACAGGTCTGGTTTCCTTGTCCATCACCCTGGAGATGCTGGGTAAGTTCGGGGTGACGGCGGCCTTCTCGATCATTTACGCCTACACCGCGGAGCTCTACCCCACCGTGCTGCGTAACACCGCCGTCGGAGCCTGCTCCATGGCCTCCCGTCTGGGCAGCATCGCCGCGCCCTACTTCGTCTACTTAGGTCAGTTTACCGCTCGCTGGCGCCCTCTTAAGGCACTTTCCTTGTAGGCCTCGTGCATGTTATACTTTTGCATGTTATGTAATAGAAGTGATGTCTATCACCACACCAGCTTCTTTCTGCTGTGCAAAGCAGGGGTTTAGTTTGGGCTTGGAGACCCTGGCAGATTCACGGGGCCCGGCCATTCACAGGGGCCCGGCCCTTCACAGGGGCCCGGCCCTTCACAGGGGCCTTTCAGTGTGTTATATTATACGTGAAATTGGACATTGAGGGCCCAGGACACATTTTGGGTAGCAACCTGGGTCTGAAGGTGAATTGGTGTCTCTGAATTAGTAACATAGTTTCGTAGTTTGTATGCATGTGTTATAACAATAATGTAACAGTGTAACATATATATATTACATTATTTGGTGTCCAAAATGTGATAAAAACTTATTTTGACATTGCGGGGAGCATTTTTTCAGTCCTCACAATGGGAGACTTAAATTTATAAAAATCTCTGACCGCAATTAGGAAACTAAAAATGCCTAAAGTCTTGTATTTTGTTTGGTTACTTATGGTTAAGGTTAGGGCTGGGTGGGGGTTAAGGTCGTCGTTGTTGGGATTAGGGTTTTGCCCATAGAAATGAATGGAGAGTCCCTATAAAGATATGAACAGGTGTGTGTGTGTGTGTGTCTTAAGATGGACTGGCATCCCAGCTAGGAAGTACCTCTGCCCTGTACCATATGCTGAGTGGTATCATCTCCAGGTTCCCCCACAATCCTGAGCAGATAGGAGATTATCCATTTTTAAAATGGATAATATAACTGGGGAGGGGGGGCGGGGATTCTCCTTAAAGGGGCGGCTGCTGTTTATATGCTTTGCGGCAGACAGGAATATCTGAACGATGGCTGCATGTTAGAGACCTTGGTTGGTTTCGGAGCGTTTGCGTCATCGAGGAGTGACACGGTCCCTGTCCCGTATCACACAGGACAATTCAACCGCTTCCTGCCCTACACGCTGATGGGCAGCCTGACGGCCTTCTCAGGCCTGCTCAGTCTCCTGCTGCCTGAGACCTTCGGCCTGCCGCTGCCTGAGACTGTCCATCATATGCAGACCATCCTGAGGTGAGGGGCAGGGAGACTCCCCCCCCCCCCCGAACAAGGGAGGGGCAAAAAAATCATATCTACATGTCTGTTTGGTTTTGGGAAACTTAGAAATAACCTTAAAAACAAAAATGTATAATTCAGGCCTGTATTAATTAATTTTTATCTCTTTGCATTACATTATTTGTAGGTGATTTTTTTGTTTATTGTTCATCACTACATTCCTAATGATGGCACCGCGATCCTTCGTAGGGCTAGACTGGGTGTCCTGTTCACCTCAAACCATGACTAATCAAAGAAGAAATACTCGCGCCCTTGGAGTAATCTTTGAGTAATCTTTGAGTAATCTTTCGCTCGCGCTCTCAGTGGTACCCAGGCGGAGCTGATCTCAGACACACTGAGCGTCACAGTTTACACAGAAATGGCACCTCAGTCTGTCTCTGCTTGATGCCTCAGGTGGAAAAAGAAAGAAAAATCTGACGATGCCCACGAAATTGAGGAGGAAGCGGAGGAAGAGGGTGCATAGGAGCGAGCGTCAGACCCAAAGCGTTACTTTTATACCGTTGATATGTATTATTGCGTAGTTTCGTAGCTTAATAGTCCATGCAAGACTTATGTAATTTTGTAAATAAAAATAATATTTTGTGGAAAATAAACACATCCTAAAACGATGTTTGTTTAATGGTTGTATGATGGGCCTGAAGATGTGGCAGTTTTTGATAGAAAGTTAACTGTTTTTGGTTCTATAAGGAGACAAATTATTTTCCTGTAGCGTGTGATTGTGTGTCCTACGATTGGCTGGTATCACCTTTAGGATATCTCCTGCTTCAAGCCCTGTGCCTCTTAGTACATGTGACTGGTTCAACACAACATCCTACTGGAGAAGATGGATGGATGGATGACATTGCATTTCTGGTTTATGTCACTATTTAAGTTTTAAACCTAAATATGAAACAAAACTGCCAGTCAAGATCTGGACACACCTACTGAAACTGATTTTTTATTTCAGCAAGATATCGACCCCAAGCGCCCCTCCAGGTTATGTAAGCACTGTATTATCTTGTGAATAATGAAAGAGACAGAGTGCTGTGACAGATGACCTGCCCCCCCCCACAATCCCCCCACCTGAACCCTACAGAGCCAGTTTGGGGTGAGTTGGATCAAACAGTCAGAGTACGGTAGTGGACTTGTGCCCAGAACTTGTGGAAACTCCTTCAGGCCTGTAGGAGAAGCATCCCAGGTGGCTGCATCTGGAAGCTGGGTGAATGAATGACAAGAGTCTGCAACGCTGCCATAGAAGCATCTAAAATTAGAAAAAATGTTTGAGATGTTGAACACTTCTCTCAGTCATTGCGATATTTGATATATATTACTTCATTGCCTTGAGGCCTTTTATTATACTTGTTATGTATTGAACATGTGATTCTGAGTTTATAGTCTCTTGGTAGAAAAAAAAAAACTTTTTAAAGTGAATTTCGTAAGAGCAGCAGGTCCCCAGCCCCCCTACTGGTGAAGAAGCAGAGCCTTGTGGGTGAATATTGCGGGGATGTCGATGTAGGCCGCGGTTCTCGGTGACGATTGACGTGAAACATTGAGGCACGGCTGCTCATTGGAGTTTTACTTCCACAAAAATGGTCTGAGGGCAGAATGGAAAATGATTAGTTCAGAGTGATAGCCAATCAGATGGTAGAGGAGGCGGGACTAAGACATTTGATTGGTTCATCCCGCATCCTCTAGCAGCTTGGACCCACCTCCACTACGATTCATTTTAAGGACCCACAGTAACCCACAGGGCTGTGAGCAGCTGGACATGACGGATTTGACTTTTCCGCCTAAACTGGAAGTCTGTAAATTCGCCTCATGTTTCAGTTCATTTCGATTTTATAGCACAGTGAAGTCATGCTGTTTCTATTATTGCATTTTTGGCCCAGTTGTCTAATTATAGAACAATTACGGAATTAAGGACCGCAAATATGAATAGCGCACAGCATGTGATTCTTTAAATATGCAGTGAAACTTTATCTGCCCAAATAAATGGCAGATTAAACCTTAGAATGCCAACGCTGGCATCGTCAACACAACAATAATGTGGTTTCATGTAACTCGTAATGTGTCTTATTTAGAAACTTGTTGTATGGGTCTTTTGTGCAATTGCAAGCATGTGTTTAGGTAAGAGCTGTTTGTATTGGAAAAATACAAGCCTTCAGAGCAAAATTTAATCAAACAGTTTATAAAAGTCCTCAGTCTTTGGTATTTTCAGGCTTTTCGTGTCTGATCCAAATTCATCGCTGGCTGAACGAAAAACGTAAAACCGACAGCCTGAGAATTTTAAGTTGTGTGAATTGGAAAGGGAGATACACAACATGACCAGAAGGTGGCAGCCGAGCGCTGCCTCAGGCCAAATAATGTGCGCTGGAGGCAACGTTACCGGTCCGGAGCTGTTTCTGTTATTCTCATGTAGTCACAGAAAACTGCAGGAGAATCACAGTCACGTGATGAAGGTGGTTGAAGTTTAACTGCTGCACATTACAGCAAGGTATTTAAACCACTTCATTGGGTCTAAGGATAAGATCAAACCAAAATCTCTGCTTTTGATGTATCAACAAACCAATTAATTTGCTTCTTTCATATTCTAGCAGAACTTGCTTTAAATTACTTGTACTGGTGGATGCTGAGTTTGTAAGTCACTGATGAACAAGCCTGGTGTCCCAATCATTACACCAACTAGTTCCTGAAGCTAAGAATTCTGGGTGAGGTATTCAGCGGTGCAGGGCTGTTGTGTAGTATAGACTTGGCATGTTAGAAGGTCTGGAGAAGATGGAGTCAGACAGCATGCCCGAGAATTAGACAGAGGAAGTGAGTGTCTGTACCCATTCATCACCGAGGGTAAAGTCCAACGCCAAGAGAGCCGAAAGCTGAAATGGAGAGTTTTTATAAGACGTGCCCTCTAAGAAAAAATGGTACTAGTTTGTATCTCTGCTTGTCTCTGGGGCTGTACCCTCAAGGGACTGCCAATGGTACCCTTAGCTGTAGGTAATTGTACCTTTTAAGGTACAGAAGTTTACTCTGATGAATATTTTTGTACCATTGGGGGTACATTAGGGGTATATTAGAGGTACATTAGGGGTATATTAGAGGTACATTAGGGGTATATTAGAGGTACATTAGGGGTATATTAGTGCTGATTGTATCTTGGGAACAGAGTGGTGCCAGTAACCGGAATGTTGCTGGTATAATTCCCAAGAATGCCTGGAGTCATCCTACTCTGTTGGGCCCTTGATCAAGGCCCTTAACCTACAATTGCTTCATCCTGGGTGTGACGTCAACCTACATCCAGCCCCATGACGAGGTCCTCCAACTTACAGGGGAAAAACTTGGGGGTTGGTGGCAGGATTGGCACTCCAGCCACGGGGGGGAAAAAAAGAACTCGCACTGGTCCATTCGGACTAGTGTGGTGCTGAGGTGTCACCCACCACATGGCTGCACTCAGGTTCTCATCCCTGAGGTGGTTTGTCATGTGGTAGGTGCGGCAATGCGCTGTAATCAGAGCACGCTCCTTACTTCTACCTTGGGGAGTCCATTTCTGTACTTCTGTTCTTAAGGTACAAAATTGTAAGGTACAGCCTCAGTGACAAGCAAAGGTACAAACTGGTATCTTTTCTGAGTGTGATGAACCTAAAGGTTCTTCCTCTTGTTGGTCAATATTTAGCCAAAAGTTTGTCAAGCTTTCGTTCTCTTCACCTTTTTTGTCATATTCAGCTGGAATTATTAGCCAGTGTCCGTTAAAACTAACACACGAATCACTAAAGTTCTACATCTGAGTGAAAATTGTAATAACCCTTTTGAGTAAGTGTTCAGGGACCGACATAAGCAGAGTTTCTTCTGCCGGGGGGCATTTTTAAGCACCCCCACTCCATTGAAATGCCCAGGCACATTGTCCCAAATCACCAAAGGAATTCCATTCTCAGTCAGACCAGCCGAAAGACTTCTGTCGAAGAACTGGCCCTGTGCTTAAAACTGTTTTGTCCTTAATTAAACTCATCGCATTTTAGACTAGCTAACGTTAATAATCCCACGCAAAACGTGTATAAGAAACTATGGACCAACTTACAAATGCAGCTACGCAGTAACCAATAACGGTAAACCTGTGGTTGCACGTTATGGTAGAAAGCTACGAAAGATTTTTTTTAGCGCACATGTAGAACAACTAAGAATGTCCACCAGGAGGCGATAGAATTCTCCTGTAAATCCATTCAGCAGCTCATCCATTTTCAATGTAGACTTATTCAGTACAGAGTAGAGCAGGGTGACAGTAGGGGACATTTGGTGGGATGGTAGTCCATTGTAAGACTGATTAAAATAACACACAATACCCAAAAATGGCACTTTGGTGGACAGCGGGAATCGCTGGCTGGGAATGTCCTGTGACTCATAACAATTACTGTGGGACCTCTGGGATGGAACAGTGGTGTAAGAACTCTGGCTAATTTATGATGTTTTAATCAGATGGAGACAGTGGTTCCCGCAGAAGTTCAAACTCATTAAATATCACAGACTGGTTGGACTCTAACAAGCGGACAAAGAGTCTGTAATTAATCCATTTTCCAATCGCAGCGAAAGAGACGGATCAGTAATCGGCGGGGCACTTTAATTCGCTACTAAAGTGACTGGACTCTCAAAGGCCTTATTTAATCTTTTGTGGTAAAATCGGTAAGGGTGAAATTGGGATCACGCTCGGAATACTTTTTGTGACATAACCCGCAGGCACATACCACATAAAACGGGACCTAAAGCATTTTATTTGGGAGGCACCAAGCAAAACACAGTCGCTGTTTTCAAATCAAGCGGTCGCGGCGTAATTGCGTGTCAAAGCTAAAAATGTTAGCTCTTTTAGCGAAATGGCCCGCATGCTGTTTTCATTCTTTAAAACTATACCAACAGTACACAGAGACCGAGAAAATGTCTGGGGAATGGGAGAAAGTAATGCAATATGGGAAAAAGGACCCGGAATCAATTGCGGCATGCCATTCTGTTTATACTAGGGCTCTGTTTGACATATGATCACTGTAAAACTACAAAATATATTGTGCCTGTCAATATCCATAACATTTTATGGAAGCGTAAGTGACATTTTGAAAACATACTCATAGGGCGCAAAATTAGTGATTCCTCCTCTGGGTCTCTTTGAAAGACCCACTTCTTCCGGAATCTATTTTTTTAGGATCAGCGGAATGCAGGGTTTTTAATTGCCCAGGGAACAGACATTGATCTTTTGGTGTCGTACAATCAATGGCCGGCAGAAAGCTCTCGGCTCTGGGATGTCTGACAATGCTTGTTTTTCTTGAAAGTCACACTCGGTGCTTTATCTTGACTTATGTTTCGCTTATCCACATTCCAGACAGCAATTAAAACAGGACAACTTCCCTCTTTCTGTCGCCTGTAGCCTTTGGGAAAAGGTACTAGGTAGTAGTCATAGTGTTTTGAGATTTCCTCTGAGACCACAGAGGTCGAAGCATGGACCCCTATCACTATCCAAAACAAAGATGAACATTAAAACGCTTCACCTCCATCTAGAAATTGGCTAGAGAAACTGGGCTCCCGTTTAATGCCAACCGAACCAAAAGTCAGTGACATTTCACAATAGCCGCTTCTGATGTATGACGCAAGGATG